AGTGGGTGAGGGGGAATTGTATCCGCGGGTAGGGCACCAGGTTGGTCTGGAACTCAGTCAGGTCAACGTTGAGAGCACCATCAAACCTTAAGGAGGCGGTTATGGAAGAAACGATCTGCCCAATGAGCCTGTTGAGGTTGGTGTAGGTGGGACGCTCGATGTCCAGGTTGCGGTTGCAGATGTCGTAGATGGCTTCATTGTCCACCATGAAGGAGCAGTCCGAGTGCTCCAGGGTGGTGTGAGTGGTGAGGATGGAGTTGTAGGGCTACACCACTGCTGTGGCGACCTGAGGGGCTGGGGACGAGAACTCCAGCTTGGACTTCTTGCTGTACTCCACAGAGAGCCGCTCCATGAGGAGGGAGGTGAACCCGGAGCCTGTGCCTCCTCCAAAGCTGTGGAACACCAGGAACCCTTGGAGACCACTGCACTGCTCAGCCTGCAGCAGCAGGGAAAGAACCAGAAGGACCATGTCACTGGAGCTATTGTAGCCTCACTGGATTTATATCACCATCAAGTTTAAGGCCATATTTACTCCTGCTCACATTCACCTTCCATTACTAACAGGCAAGAACTGCCTGACACAGCAAAGGCAGCTTGTAAATCATCTCCTGTTTTAGCAGCAAGGTGGTGAGGGGAGCAAAGCCTACCCTGAGATAGTCACACATTAGGTTAAATGGGGACTTATGGTACTGGCAGTCATGAAGATCAGGAAGAGTCTGAAGGCCAGTAAGAGGTTCCACCTAATCCAAAACCATCTTTGTGTTACCACAGCACTTCCAAGAGCCTACATGGGGGAAACCTTGTGCTCCAGAGGCAGCCACACAAGGGAGGAGAGGCCCGAGAGGAGACACTCATCTAGAAGCTGAGCTGGGACATTGATTGGGATGAGATTTTGGATCAGGATTGACACAGGAGTAGGACAAATCACCTTAACCTGGACAGTTAAGTCACTGCTTGTTCTCCTGCTTAAGCTGGGGGTATCTTTAGCCCCTTATTTTCCCCTCAAGTCCCAATAAGCAAGACGTACACCCCCATGCATTCCACCATGTTCTAGTCACAGTGGCATGGTCAGCCTGAGCATGATCCAATTGCCCTCCACCACCACATCTCTTGATGGTCAGGTCAACCACAACCAGAGCCCTAATGCAGAAGGGCCTCCACATGGTTCTTACCATTTTCCGAGCCCTGTCAACAACTGACCCAATGGTCTCCTTCCCAATGGTGTAGTGGCCCCGGGCGTAGTTGTTGGCAGCATCTTCCTTGCCACTGATGAGCTGCTCTGGGTGGAAGAGCATGCGGTAGGTCCCAGTCCTGATCTCATCTGGAGGAGGTTGAGACTTCGTGTCACTGGCACAAGACCCACCATCTACCAAGTTACTGGCACAGATTGAGATGTAGTTTCACAGGGAAGCTGCCAACCCCACCAGCAGTTTAGGTGGCCAACACTACACTTCAGGTCAGACAAGGTGCCCCCCTACACACACCCCACCGGGAGGCTTCCATGACTTACCAATGACAGTGGGCTCCAGGTCAACAAACATTGCTCTGGGCACACACTTCCCTGATCCTGTCTCACTGAAGAAGGTCCCAAAGGAAGAGTCTGCTTGCCCTGAGGATGTGCTGAAGGAGATGATGCCATCTGGCTCGATCCCATGCTCTAGGCAATACAGTTCCCAGCAGCATCTGGACACCTGCTTGGCCAATATGGACTGAAATACACTCCCTCTGCATGGGGATGGGAGAGAAGAGGGGGTTAGGAATGTGCACTGAGGAATTAGACTGACACTGGCACTTTTGGGTGTCTTTAGAGCACGTGGCCCTTACAACCTGTTTTTTACTTGTGGCCCAAGTTGGGGATCCAGCCCAGCAACTCTTAAATGATCATCAAGAATCCCAGCCCTGCCAAGCACAGAAACAGGGCAGCAGCACCCTATACTGAAACAGAGGGTCTTGGCTGAGGGCTGGGATCTAACGTGACAGCCCTCAGCCACCACAAACAGACCCAGGAGAGCCTCAATGCACCAGGAAGAGAGCAGGGATGCTGAGCCAGTCCTCACAAGGAGGCCTTCACCCTCTGCTCCAGGTCTGCCTCAGCCCCACAGCAGCATTAGGTAGGTACGTTGACAAGTCTTATATTAGATGCCAACAGCACCAAAGCATCTTCAAGCAGGGAGGCAGCCAAGCCTGGAGGCATTTCACCAGTCCTCTCCAGGCCAGGAAGAGGGAAAACCACTCTTGCAAAGCCAGCCCAGCTGTGGACATCTCCAAGCACAAGCTCTGCACCCTTAGGAGCCCCTTCTCCAGGGCTCTTAATGCTCCTCCATAGCCCATAACCAATTTCACCCCCAAGGCAAGACACCTTCCCCCAGTTGGATAAAAGGGCAACCTCCATCTTCACCCTCCTATAGAGCTGAGAAGAGCCACCCATGGCCATCAGAGAGCAAACTCAACCCCATGGCTACTCACCATGGCTCTGAACCACCCAGGCTCCTCACCAAGAGCATGTCCTACCTGCCTTCCTCCTGGACCTTTTATAGCAGGCAGGACTAGGCTGGGCTCTCTGCAAAACAGCTCCCTCCTCCTACCCCTTCTTGTGTAGTCATCTGCTGGCAAAGGGCTCAGGTGTTTCCAAGGGAGAGCAATGGGGGCTCATTAAGGTGCTTTGAAGGATTTGCAGCTGCAGACCCATGGAGTTTGGAGTTTATTTGGCCTTCAAATATTCACTTAGCATTGCTCTTGCCATGATAAGGGGAATAAAGTCAAGTGCAAGGTCCTGCCCCTGAGTTGGGGCCATCCCAAGCACAAACAGGCTGGGGGAGACTGGATGGAGCAGCCCTGAGGACTTGGGAGTGCTGGGTGATGAGAGGCTCCCCATGACCTGGCTGTGTGTGCGGGAGCAAACTCTCATTATTGTACTCAAAAGAGTTTGGGTTTCATCCCTGCATGAGATGGCTGGAAATCCCAACCCCTCATCTGGCTCCTATGAAACTGCAGATGTCACCCCAAACAACAACACTGTCCTTCTCAAGCGTGGTGGCCTTGGCTCTGCACACTCCCAGCCCCAGCTGGGTGGTGATGGAGACTTCACTGCTCTATTTTCATCCAGCTCCCTCAGGAAATCTGGCTCCTCCAACCTCCTCCTGTGCCTCAGCCCCTCCAATCAAGCCCTGGTCTTGCTTGGCAGAGGTTGGGAAGGAGGATTAATAATGGAAGGGTTTGTCCAAGCAGTGCTTGGGTGAGACTCCCCATGGGGATGCAGCTGGGGAAGGAGGATCTCTGCTTTCCTCATCGCTCACTCTCAGCTGGTCTCTGCTGTCCCCATCTCAGCTTTGCACATGCAAGCACAGCCTGGTGCCAGCGAACACCTTGGCTCATCTCCTCCCATGGCAGGGGGTTGGACCTAGATGATCTTAAGGTCCTTTCCAACCCAAGCCATGTTAATGGCCTTCATCAAAGGGGAGCAGAAGAAAGACCCAGTGTGAGAGCCAGGTGTGGAGTGTTTTGATCCAGGCACTAGCACAGGGCTGAGATGTTCCCCTCGTCTAACCTGGTGCTGGGACAGGGCCCAAGCAGGGCTGGTGCAGATGCCCCCAGCAGCTGATGACGTGGAAAAGCCTGTTCCCAGCCTGGACCAAGGATTTAGTGGTGCTCAGTGGGGAGCACGGGGGGAAATCTCTTCCACTTTCTTCTCAAAGCAATGACTTCTCCTTTGGCTCTGTCACTTCTTCTGTGCCAATGCTCTTCTAGAGAGCCCTGTGCATCAGAAAGGCTGAGCCTGGATGACGTGAGGACACCTATGGCCAAATCCACCAAGGGATGAGAGTGCATCCAGCTGGATGCCCAGCCGGGTCTGACTTGTTCTGCCCTGCTTTGCTTTACCAGACATGAGCAGGAGCGTGTGCCTCAGTTTCCCTGGGTGCATAATGGGGACAATGACT